GGACCAAATGTAACTTATATCATCGTTAAATCTTATCTTATAAAACCAGTGGAACTTCAAAATCGTTAAAATTCATGGTTCTCCCCGCATTGCACGAATACACAACTAGTAAATAATTAGTATCAATTAATAATATTGTAAATATATTTTTAATATTATTTATGTATTATTTGCTTGTTCCAGAATAGAAAGAGGATACGGTCTGCAATTACGATGATGTTTTCATCTGGATCTAAAACCTTGTTTGTTATGATGTGATTTAAATGGTATTATTTTAAAAATATTATTTAATAAAAGAAAATAAATATATAAAATATTAAATTATTCAATAAATATAATCCAACCAGCAAACCATAAAACTGACTTTTCTTCAATAATTTTTCGAAATATAAATGCCAAAAAGGCTATTCTGCGTGGGTCCCAGTCCTACCAAACAATTTTTCATTTAAAATCATTTATTACTAATTTCTAATTCATAAAGATGAGTTAGGGGTTGTTTACTAAATTTTCTATTAAGTTTTGTATGAATAAATTTATTTGTTTGAATAAATTTGGCTGTCTGGATAAATTTATGTTGTTGTTTACTTTTCTATCTAAATCAACAGTCTGAATAACATAAATGACCAATTTACCCCTGAGGATAGGATGGTAGCAGCAAATATTAACAGGTAAGAAAACCTTAAGCAAACAGCAAATACCCAAAAAAAAAAGCAAACAGCAGCTTGAAATTTCTTGTTTCCATGATATATACCATAAACTTGATTTTTGCTTGTTCATCCTCCCTCTCGCCTGTTCGGCGTTCGCCATCTCCGGTTGCTTTGCCGCCACCCCTATTTACTTCGTCATCGGCGACCGGTCTGAGCCTTCGTCTTCGTCGCCTTCGCCGCTCTACATCGTCGTAGTTGTCGCCGCTGGCTACTCCTTTGCTACTCGTTGCAACAGGTATGGTCGATCGACGGAAAAGAGAGCAACAGCCGTCGATCGATGGAGAAGAGACCAACAGTCGATTGATGGAGAGATCGATGGAGAAGAGATCGATGGAGAAGAGACCAACAGTCGATCGATGGAGAAGAGATCGAAGGGTGTTGGATCGATGGAGAAGAGATCGAAGGGTGTTGGATCGATGGAGAAGAGACTTGAGAGAGGCGTGACTATTGTGTAAGGGTAGGGCAAGTCTTTTACCTTGGCTTAACCTGGACAACACAAGTTTTTCATCTGGGCGAATAAGCCCATTTCTGAGCGAATAAGCCCAAGGTAAACAGCCTTGTTTGTCTGTCCGAATAAGCCGGTTTATCCACTAAGCTCATTAAGCCACAAGTAAACAGGCCCTTAGTATGCAACCTTTTACATTTATACAATCAATATAACTCAATCTTAACCGTCCATTTAATTTGATGAATATGTGATTTTATAAAAAAATTATTATTTCCTAATATAAAGTATTGATCATAATTAATGAACTCTAGTCAACTTTCATAAATATTCAAATCATAATGAATGAACTATCATCATTTTCGTAAATATCTCAACTAATTAGGTTGCATTGGTTGTACAAATAGACATGGTTGCATTTGAGATAATATATATATATATATATATATATAGAGAGAGAGAGAGAGAGAGAGAGAGAGAGAGAGAGTTTGGTTCAAATGTTAACCAAGATTATTGTGTTAACTTTGTTAACCAAACTCAACCAATGAAAATCCATCATTTATCTAGGTTCATATCCATCTCATAATTTAATGACAAGGGTAAATATGTAATTTTAGTTTGTATGCAACTCCCATATTATTAATTGGGAGTTACAAAATCAAAAAATCCCATAATTGTTATTGATTTACTATTGTTTTTGTTTTTATATAATATTGATTTATCTATCTATAATGTTCTTGAATTTGTGATTGTTAAAGGAAACCAGATAGTAAAGTTTTCGATATCGTTCAATATAATATGGATAAACCCATTGGAAAACAACTCGACAACAATGGGAAGGTTAAAATGGTTTACGATGACAATCAAACTTCGAGTTCCAGAAGTGAACATAATAATCAAAGGGTTTGTTTGGTAATGGATTAATATGTTATTGTATTCGTTCTAATCGAAATTATGTTGATTATGATGTTTTTGTGTTTTTTATAGTTCATATTGTGTTGGTAACTTTTTCTTTAATTATTACTACGAGCCCAATTCATATATTAAAATGGAATGAGTTTATCGTCAACTTAATTTGTTATGCGATCCAATTCTGATAACCATTCGGCTCCATCAGCTGCTTGTGATGCTTGACCTGCCATAAACTGCAACTAGTGTTCATATACGTTCAGTTGTGTTCATATATGTCTAGTAGGGACATGAATCAAGGCATCTAATGAACTATGTGTGTTCATAAGTGTTCATATGAATTTTTAATCGAAATTATGTTGATTATGACGTTTTTGTGTTTTTTATAATTCATATTGTGTTGGTAGCTTTTTCTTTAATTATTACTACGAGCCCAATTCATATATTCAAATGGAATGAGGTCATCGTCAACTTAATTTGTTCCGCAATCCAATTCTGATAACCATTCGGCTCCATCAGCTGCTTGTGATGCTTGACCTGTCATAGACTGCAACTACTGTTCATATACGTTCAGGTGTGTTCATATATGTTGTAGTAAGGACATGAATCAAAGCATCTAATATTGAATTTATAATTTTTGTTAATTTATTATTGATCTTGTTTTTTTTATAATATTGATTTTTCTATCTATAATGTTTTTGAATTTGTGATTAGTAGACGAGACCCGGTAGTAAAGTTTTCGATATCGTTCAAGCTATTATGGATAAACTCATTGTCATAGAATGAACTATTGTTCACAAGTGTTCGTATTGTGTTCATATGTACACTAGTTGCATATCTCAATATTGGCTTGCTCTTGAATGTGTTCATAATGAATGAACTCTTGTTCATAAGTGGTTAATATTGTGTTCATACATGTTTTTTTATTTATGTTCTTTCGTGTAGCAGCTATTCTTATTATGTTCATATTGTGTTCATAAATGTTATGCAGTCCAAGTTCATATATATGTCAATTTTTTGATTTTTCGTGAGACCCTTAAGACAAATTTATGTTCATTGATCAACTTTATAAGGTAATGATCTAATGGTGTAAAGTTACACGGTGACAATTTTGTAATTATTGAGAAGTCTCGTGGCAATTTTGTGATTATGAATGTTGAGATTGTAGATCTAATCCAATGGTTGAGAATTGGTCTTACGGGTCTCACGAAAAACCCTTGGTTTCACATGATCCCAAATCTATATATATATTATATGGAGCAACCACCTGAGTTTGTTGCTCAGGGGGAGTGTGGCAGAGTCTGTAAACATCATAAATTATTGTATGGTTTAAAACAATCCCCTCATGCTTGGTTTGAATGATTTAATGCAGTAGTGACTGAGTTTGGATTATGAAGGAGCTCTTATGATCATTATGTGTTCTTTACTTCATCCACTTCTGGATGTATTCTACTTGTGGTGCACGTTGATGACATTGTAATTACTGCGAGGGATAAGACTGTGATCAAGAAGTTGAAAGATTTTCTTGCATCTCGGTTTCAAACAAAGGACCTAGTTCCTTTAAAATACTTCTAGGGAATTGAAGTATCTCGTACTCGGAAATGGATCTGTTTGTCTAAGCGGAAATATTGTTTGGATATATTGAATGACTCTGGGATGAATGAAATAAAACCTTGTGATGCTCAATGATTCCAAATATGAAATTGAAAGCAAACGACGGAGATCTACTCGAGGATCCAAAAAAATACACAAGAATTGTAGGAAAACTAAACTACCTGAAGATTACATGTCAAAACATCGCATTTCCAATGAGTGTTGTAAGTTAGTTTATGCCATCTCCAAGAACTCCACATTGGGACGCTTATATTAAAGTACCTAAAGGGTGCCCCAGGTCTTGGCATCCTTTATCAAAATCACGATCATCATGTCATAGAAGGGTTCACAGATGCCGAGTATAATGGGGATCCTACGAACAGGCGGTCTACAACAGGTTATTGTGTGTTGGTTGAAGGGAATTTCGTTTCGTGGAAAAACAAGAAACAAAATGTCGTTTCTCGATCAAGTGCTAAATATGAAAACAGAGCTATGGCCCAAACCACTTGTGAGCTGATATGGTTGCATAATCTGCTAAGTAAGCTTGGGTTTGCTTAATCTAAATTGAATAATCTATATTGTGATAATGAGGTGGCTATCCACATTGCAAACAATCCCGTGTTTGATGAAAAAAAAAAAAACAAAACATATCGAAGTAGACTACCATTTCACTCGTGAAAAGCTAGAAGATGGAACCACCTTATCTCCCTTTGTTCGAACAAGATGTCAACTTGCTGACGTCTTTACCAAAGCTTTACCTGGTTCGCGAACCTCTTCTATTTGTAACAAGCTGAGCATGATTAACATCCATGCTCCAACTTAATAGGGAGTGTTAGAATATAAATATTGCAATTATTTGTTTAGGCCCAGTTAGTCCGTGGGCCCTGAGGGTTCCTCTTTCCTACGTTTCTTGTTTATATATATCTTTGTACTCTTTTGTTGTAAGATACAAGTTAAGCAAGAATATAATCATTTGTTGTGTTAAAAGTCAATTGTTTGTTTTATGTGCTATATAAACAATTTGAATAACATAAATCATCATTTTACCGTATATCCACTTAACGCGAACCTGTCAAAGTCATTGAATTATTGAAAAACGAATATCCTTCCTATATGACCGATGTTGCTAAAATCATCAACAAAAGTGGCCTTACTCAAAAGAAGACACATATGTGTTCTTTCACTTTTGGTAAGATTTAAACTCTTAGATTAAATATTATACACTTACAAAAAAAATTATATACTTGTAAAGAAGTATAAAAAGACAAAAGCTGGTATCACCAGTTTTTGGGCAAACTCATCTCCTTGAAACTTGGTTATATGAATGGATGTTCACACAGATTTGGTGATAAAAATTGCATAATTTAGCAGCTGCTGATGCTACAACATGCCATACATATGAAGAAAGGGTCTTTGGGGCATGACTTTCTTAATAATATAGAAATTGGGCCAAACAAAAATACATGGTTAGAGAATGAATCTATGCTAAGCTGCCAACTGCTGTAACTGATGAACCACATGGGACATTCTAGGCCGCATCGATGGTACATGTTGAGTACATGAATACACGAGGTCGACTACCTTTTGGACCACTCCAGCTTCAGGTATTCGAGAAGGTGAAGTGGAAGAAGATGCGGAAATCACAGGATCGAGAAGTTCGAGGTAACGGTGAGATTGAACAAGTGGGGTGGCCCACTCGAAAATACTTTGCCAGCCCACTGAATCAACGGCTTGAGATGCGGGTCTACGTCCGCTGATTATTTCTAGTAGTAGAACCCCGAAGCTGTAGACATCGCTCTTTGTGGTTAACTCGTTTCTATAGACAAACTCTGGGGCAAGGTACCCATGGGTCCCACCTGCCATTACGGTCCTACCGTGCATCACTTCCCATGGTACAAACTTTGACAGTCCGACGCCCATTAGATGCGCGCTAAAATCCTCATCTAAAAGTACATTGCTTGCACGAATGTCACGGTGGACCACTTGTGGCTTTACCTTGTCATGCAGGAACCTGTTTTTATTGTTTAAATCATTAGAGAAGCAAGTGATCATAAAAGAATCATTAGGAAAATCATACGAGAAACAAGTAAAAAGGACACGTTTGATAAGCCATCAGCTAGCTTTTTTGAAAAGCTACTTCAGAGAGCTTATTGATTTTTCTCTTTTTTTTTTTTCCAATTATACCCCTTTTATTAGGTCATTTTACACAGCCCTCTAGCTTATATGACAGTTTTTAACAAACATGACTAGTTTATCAGCTATTATCAACTTGTTATTCAAACATAGCCATTGTAATGAAGTTAATAAGCCTCTCAATAAAAACCAGTATGACATTTGAGGTAGGGGTATGAAATCGCAACAGACAACCATAAACCAAAAGGTGAGTATTGCTATAAAGAGTTAGCGTGAACTACTTGACTGAAGACCCCGCTTTCTTGCCCATTTTCGAGGAATGTCCCATTCGGGAGGTAATTGCTTATCGGCTATCACCACCCACTGGAAGTATCTACTCGTTACGGAATCTCAGGTGTAAAAGTGTGAATTTAACTGTTCTTCAACCAACCTTGCTAGATATTATCTCCTAACACCTTTGTTATTAATTACTAGACAAATTTGTTGGACATAAATTATGAGCTCCCATTATAATTTTTGACTCGTATATTTGTACACCAGTTCTTATGTTGAGACAGAAATAGTAAATGGTGAATGAAGGCCCCTTGGCTTCATGAGGGTCGGGAACGTAAATCTTTATATGCAACATTTCCCTTAAATTTTGCTACCAGACTGCGTAACCTTATTAGTTGCTCCAAGGCTTGCTCCTTGAGATAGAAATATTATCAATTTTTCTCTTTTTAAGTTTGAACTCACTATACGGTCCCATGTTGATTAAATTTTCTGTTCCAGAAAGATAAAAGTATCGCATAATTGATTGACTAAACACAGTTTATGATTGACAAACAGCTATGAACATGATCAAGCAAGATGCTGGCTGGCTAATGAATGAAGGTGAGATGATAGGTTATAAGGGCTATGATAGACCAGCAGTAAGATTCATGTACACAAGAACGAATAAAGAAGGTAAAGGGTAATTTAGTAAATAGTATTTCTATCACAAACGAATAAGTCAGGGTGAAAAGTTGGTTAGTTACTTGGAGGAAGTTGTAGTGAACAACAAATAGAAAATAAAGTAGGATTCATTCATTTTTCTTGATTGTTTATGCAAAGAGCCTAGGGGAGTCTTCCATCCTCTATAGTCCGTAAACCATTTAACTTTCTGTGAAACCATTGCAATTAAGATTCAGAATAGCATCAGTATGCATCAGGCTAATGCTACAAGTAAATGGGAAAATCGAGCAACACATCTAGTCGAGCACTATCAGATTCATGTTTCACGGTTTATCAGTTACAAATGACAACTTAAATATTTCCATAATGAAGACACTCTACAAATGGGTATTAAGTGATATCAGGAATTATGCTTGATTTGATAAAGATTCCATGTTTAATAAGGCATCATGGGAGAGACAGCAGCCTCTCCAAACCAGGTGGTTTGGTGTTTTGATTCTTTGCTGTTCGTTTTGAATACAATTTTGTTGGTTCCTATCAAGCACATCTGTTCCAAGTATCGTACCAGTATGAAACAAATTAGTGTTGGCCTATTGGCAGATTTAAATTATCAAAGCTAAAGAATTATCAAAAAAAAAGCAAATAGAATTGAAGGGGGGGAAACGGTAAGGAGTAGGTAGATAAAGTGGATGGTTAAAAGGACAATACAAAAGCGACTTTTCAGAAAGCTAGTAGCTGGTGCAAATGTGATGTCCAACTCAAATTGAAGTCACTCAAATAATCCTAGCAGAGAGAAATATATAAAAAGGAACTGTCATTTCATTGATGTTAAGAAGACTACAAATATTGGACTGGTAAATGATGGTTTTAGATGAGCAAGAAACTACCATAACTACCATTAGGAAGGCAAAAAATGGTCATTGTGCATATAGCATTATGAGTTACACCAAGGGGTTCAGTGAACAGGAAAGCATGCTACATATATCAGGCCTCACAAAGATTTTACTTATGTGTGCGAGCATGGATGAGGTTGTGAACCATCAGGACCAAATTCCGCTTCTAAGACATGCACTTTGGGAAGGTCTGGCATACAAAATTCAGGACTTTAAGCACAATATGGGAGATTACTGACAAAATTTTGCAGACTCCTCATATGTTCTTACGCTCTCTTTCTCTCAATATGTGAGTGTGTAGATGAGGTTGCAGACCATCAGGAATAGGTGCACAATATTTGGTCAGCAATTTTGCAAATTGTGCTTAGACATACATTTTGGGAGGTTCTCACATCCAAAGTTCATATTGAATGCACAATTTAGGAGACTGCTATTTAAACTTTTTGCAGGGACTTCTGATATATTCTACCACAGCCTATCTATATTTGTGCATGTTTAATAGAAAGAAGAAAGGTTCATTAGATTCACTTACGCAATTCCCTGTGCAAGAGTTGTAGCAACCTTCATCCTCATGGTCCAATCTAAACTCCTACCACCCATGGGAATATGGTGTAACCATCTGTCGAGAGGACCATGTATTACAAACTCATACACGATGTAGCGATCACCATGATCATAGCAGCATCCTTTCACTGGCACTAAATTTGGATGGCAAAGCCTTGCTACCCTTCCAATCTCCGAGTAGAATTCTTTCTTCCTTTGGAAAGTAGACCTCTTCAACCTTTTCACTGCCACCCTTGATCCATCTGGCAAAAGCCCACTATACGTGCCACCTGTCTTAGCATCCCCAAGAAGACGGTTACCTTCACTGAAGTTCTTTGTAATCGACCTCAATTCCTCACGGGTAAAGATTTTCCATGATGGAGGAACTAAAGCCGATTCTGCAGGATTAGATAATTTTCGAGATCTTCTGCGTCTCTTGATCCGCCTGTACACAAGGAGCCATATCACCACCGCAAATGTGGTGAAGAGAATTAGCCCACTCACAATCGCAAGTATAATGAGATATTCTTTGTGGCAGTGCATATGCTGACATCTACTCTCTGGAAAAGGGACAAATAATATCGAAACAATATTAGAATTTACTTTAAGCAACTAAAAGAAAAAAAAAACTCATGGGGAGAGTTTATATAATCAGCCAACATTTATGACAGTAAGCAGAAAAGGCATGGACTTTTTGTATTAGTAAATTAGTAATATGACCTTCGATCCAGTTTAAAAGCAGGTTACAAGATTAAAGGTCTCAGAAGAGAATGCAAACCTGTAACAAGCATGCATATAGATGGGTGAGATACGTTGCATCTGTTGGCCACAAGAGACATGGTTCTATTGGTCAATATGGTACACACAGAAGCCGAGTCATCTTTGTAATTGTAGAAGCATGAAGAATTGGTGCAACTGGACTTCAGATCTTGTGTGACCACATTAACAAGCGTTTCATTCCAGTTATAAGTACTGTCAGACCACGTCCAGTCCATCGCAGTGCTAGTATTCATGCTTCTGCCTCCAACCCAGCATTCATTATCAGCCATCGCCTTGCTACACAGGTCTTGGGCAAATCTCAGTTCTGCAAATGATGTTAATGCTGCAAGGTGGCCATGATAACCTCTGCAGATATTTTCTGATTCATTCCAAGACTGAGAGTCTCCAGTATATTTAAAGCACGTTGTCTTACTTGGTCCCATGACCCAACCAGAAGGACATGGTGCTGTTGACAAAGAAACTGGAAGATAAAATACATTTTTCTGATTATGTATAAAAGAACATAAATCCACTTTGACTATCGAAGGTAATAAATTCCCACAGTAACCCCTAAATGGACTTCATAATGTAATGCTCACGCACAAGATCAAATATTCAAATGCGCATCTTAAATGTGACTATTTTCCTTTTTCTTCTTCTTCTTCGCTTTTATGGTTACACAGTTATTACTAATGTTGGTATGGTGAAAATATATTACGAATGTACAAACTGAAAGAGAAAATCATAACCAAGACAGATGGTGACAATCCCACATGAATTCCCAATTGTTTCTAAGGGAAGTTAAGTTATGAAAGTGTTAACTTGGAGACATGAATGGCAATTACAATGGAACTATTTGATAAAATCATGCATCTTCTCTTAGCTATCGTTTTTTGAATAAAAGCTGAGTTACCTTCACTGTGGCTTTCATTTCCAGAAGATGCAGCCAGAAAGGAATCATTTGATACCTGCAACAAGAAGAGTGGCAAACAAAGCTTTAAATTTTCATATAATAATCCAAAAATTAGCTTCTCAGGTGGTGCTTCCATACTTACGGCGTTCAAACTTTCCAATCCAAGCATGAAGCAAGTTGCTAGAAGCAAAGAATGGATCAGCTTCACCTCCATTACCTAACAAAATAGCATATTTAATAAATGGTGCAATCATCTAACAGTACCTATTCCAAAAACATAACATCACACCATAAATTTGAATAATAAGATTCTTCTACACACCCCCGAAAACAAAGAATCCATAAATGCCCAAATGTCAAAAGCTTTCACCCACAGTAACAGAAATAAGTTAACCTAAATATAAGCTTCTCAAACACACAACAGAATTGTTAATTTCACACCCCAAAAGACATAAAAAGGAATCGTCAGACAAAATAGCTTTCAGTGTTTCAAATGTTGAACATGGTTTTCAAACTGATATGAATACGTAAATACAGAAATAGTAGTTACCGTGAAGTCAAGAAATAAGAGCCTCTGAAACCCCCTAGAAGCAGGCCCCTACCATCGTAACGCTAGATCGAAAACTAGAATCAGGATGTTAAACTTGGGGGTTTGTTCAGTTGGTGTGGTGAAAGAATGCAGAGGTGAGCTTTGGTTTGCCAGAGACGGTGGTAGCGAGCTTGAAATGGTTCGATTATGGCGATCGATCGAAGAAGGAAGAAGGAAGAAGGAAGAAGGGGAGTGAAGAACGAACAAAGGGCAACTGAAATTATTACGAGGGATGAGAGTGTAGTTGAGAACAGAGGCCGAAAAGTCAAAGTCAGTCAATGCGGACACGTCGCTTTTTTGTAATAATACCAATTTCATTATTGCTCCCAGGGGCGTTAAATATCTTGACTAACCCGATCAATCCGATAAACCCAATTTAACATGAAATAAATTAATTCGAAGTAATTTGATATTTAATTGAATTATAAAAATTATAAACCGTAAATATTGGATTACTATTATTTGAATCTAACCAAAATCGATAAACCCTGATATCCTTTTAATTTATTAGATTTAATATGATTATTGAATTTTCATTAATATGTACATTAGACAATTACAGTATCACGTACCCTCTTCATATACTCATATTTTCAATCTATTCTCTCTCTATATATAACTCATTCGTATATATGTTCAGTAACGGTAAACATATATATGCAAATTGAAAAAATTAATTGAATGTGATATGCGTAAGATTTAAGAAATATGAATAAGTTGTATTTAATGGTTGATGATGTAATAGAAATTATGAGTAGAAAAATAATATATTTAAGGTTAAGAGAATATTTTAATATACCAAAGTATCAACCCGACCAACCCGTATTGTTTGGGTTGAGTTGAGTTGCACTTTGGTTTGAGTTGGGTTGGGTTAAGATTTTTCAAACCGCAAGCATTGGTTTGAGTTGTTCAAATATCTTCAACTCGATCAACCCAACCCGTGAACACCCTTAATTGCTACCCCTCCCTTCCATAATTACATTTTCAATCAACTTGTGATTTTGGGCTCTCCATTCTTTTTTTAAGGTCTTTTTTGCTTTACTCCCTCTTTCCTCCTTGTTTTTCCTTCCCTTCGTAATAAAGATTTCGAGAACACATCGCTTCAAGATCCTTGTTCAGAATCTAGATATAGAATGTCTTTCAATATAGATACATTAAGCATCCCTGTGGTTTACGACTTGTTATGAGCTAGGTCCCTATCCTTAATGGAGTTAACTCAAGAAAAAATTTTGTCAACTTATCTATTAATTAGAAATCGTTTCTAAAACACCGTTTAAAGCGTCCACCCCATCCATTTGACCACGCACCTTCTTTCGGCTTCCCCCTCTCATCCTTATCTTCTCCCCTAACCCCAATCACTGTTTTCTTACCGTTGTTTTAGTTTCAACAATAACCATGATATTAATTTCTTAGTCCTACAATACAATGGTGAAATAAAATATCCACCGGAGGATGCTGCTTCAAAAGAACCTTCCCCTAAAAAAGCATTGAGATAAGTCATTTATGTCAAATACCAGTTAAAGTTTCTAGTTAAGTATCCTTATGGTTCTTCAACGCTTCTTTAAACTAGAATCCAGTGACCAATGATGGCAGTGAAATCAAGAGACCAATCTTATTGTAGCTTGCCTAATCTAGAATCAAAGCCCACTGGTTGAGAAGCAAGAGTTGTAGATCGGAGTCACAGAAAGAGGGGAGCCAGAGGGTTTCCAGTTGCAGGTAAAGGAGTCTCCATGTTGACAAATTGAGAACACATAAGGTCAAGATTGAGGTGGTGCAGGCGAGAGAGCAACAATTGTTCATCGACGCTGGGGTTGATGCAAAAAATGAATGGAGATCGTCGGAGCTCTCAAGTTCATCGTTGTGATGCGTGAAAATATGGTATACATACATACATACATACATACATACATACATACATACATACATACATACATACATACATACATACATACATACATACATACATACATACGTACATACACACACACATACTATTGGAAATTATTGTGAGGACACATATGAAGGAAATAAAACTTAGAGAGATTTCTAACGCTTTTACATCAATTGGGTTCTAAATATATTAGTAGGCTCATGGCAGGGGTCATTAGTGCAAGGTACAACAAACACACGTGTACGTAGCCGTTTCTCCGAGCTCCTGAGTATCTTTTTGGTAATGATTATAGAGAGATAATAAGTTAATTACTACTTAATTATAAAGTGATAATTATCAGTAATTAATTTTGGATTTTTGCAGATTAATTTTCGGATTTATCTGATCTCAATTTCGAAAATAATTTAAATTAATAAAAACGTATTGGATATGGTTGAAACTTAGGGGCTGTTTGGATCATGGGAATTGAAAGGAATTGGAATGTCCAATCATTTGACCAAATTCCAAATAGAGTGTTTGGTTCATGGAATAAGACTATGGAATCCTTTCAATTCCAGTCGATTCCTTCACGCATAGATTTTACAATTCCATGGCAATATGCTAGGATTTCAATTCCTTTCCTACAGATTCCTTCCTAATCTAATTCCATGCAACCAAACGCAATCACAAAGCATGGTCAAATTCCATCAGATTCCATTCCATTCCCTTAAAGTCAAATTCATTTGATGAATTCCAATTTCATCGAATTCCATTCTACGAACCAAACGCCCCCTTAGGGGCCGTTTGGTTCGTGGAATTCGAAGGAATTTGATGGAATTGGAATGATAAATTCATTTGACCAAATTCCATTCCTTTGTTTGGTTCATATCTTGAAATGGATGGAATCCTTCAAATTCCAATGAATTCCACAAGTTAAGGAATTCATCATTCCTTAGCATAATGGAAGGAATTGAATTCCATCAACACCCATAATGACCATGCTACTACTGTTTGTGATGCCCCACCCCTAACCCCCTACTACCACCACCACACCACTAATGTCACCGCCACCCACCCTACCCCACCACTAACCACCATGCCATTATTGTTGTCATCATACCCACCCACCCCCGGTCACTCACTGCACATCCTTGCTACGACCATGCTAYTAYCGTTAYTGTCACGYCCCTAACCTAACCCCCACCACCACACCATTATTGTCGCTATCACAGCTGCCACTCACCCCCACCCTACTCCACCCCACCACTAACCACCATGTCACTATTGTCGTTGTTATACCCATCCACTCCCAGCCACCTGACCACCATCCTACCACTGTCATCGTCATAACTGCCACCCATCCCCACTACCCCATCCCTCACCATTATTTTCGCTTTCACAACCGCCACTCACTCGCAACCCACCTGACCCCAACCCCAACCCACCATTAAATACCATGCCACTATTGTTGTCATTATACCCACGCACTCCCAGGCCCCAGCCACCCGACCATTATCTCACCACTATCATCGTCACATCTACCACCTACCCCACCCACCCCCACCCCCACCCTACTCCAACCCACCACTAAATATCATGCCATTATTGTTGTCATTATACCCACGCACTCCCAGGCCCCAGCTACCCGACCACTATCTCACCACTATCATCGTCACAT